TTTTCTTTGGGGGGATGTATCACTTAATAGATGAAATCTATTCGAGTTTTTGTCTGGCGGCCCCGGGGCCATTATGCCTTATTGTTGTCTATTGCTTATTATTTGTGAAATAACCACTCACTTCAAAAGGTTTGGGAAACTACTGAATAAAAAGTCAGATGTTTTTAGTTCTTTTTTTTTTTTTTTTTTTTTTAATGTATTTAAAGGAAAACACGTACGATATCCGCGATGAACACTTTTCGCAATAAGCACACAGAAAGCTCAATCGATAATAATAAGTTTGAGAACTTTTAAAAATGTATAACGCAATAAAGAAATTAAATTGCAAAAATTTTTCCACAAAGAGAAAAATGTGACCACAGCGCTTGAACAGAGTTGCCGAATGTGTACTCATTTCTTAATATTGCGCAATACAAGGTTTAAGGGTATAATTGCAAAAGTTGGCAAGCCGTGATGACCGCCTTGCGTGTGTTCTCAACTGTGCAATTATGCTGTGCTATATCAAGTATTTTTAACATTTCTCTAATCCCTGCATTCAATACACACCTCGTTGATATTTGCAGATTCTGTGGCCTGTTTTGCCAAAACTGTTTGAATGAATTGCTACTCAGCAATTATTTTTCGTCACCAAAGTATCTATTTCTTCGTTTTAGCATACCTTGCGAAACGAAAAATCAACAGTAATGAATATTTTAGTGTTTACCTATTATGTTTTTAAATAATGGCTCATAAAATTAAACTTTTTGGATTACAATAAACAATCATTATAATCTTTTTACTATGGATGTGTTGATGGAACGCATATATGCTTCTTAAAGCCAACGGAAAATGAAGCAATTTTCATTAAACACAAAGAAAAACATAGCCTGAATGGAATGATTGTAAGTAATCTGAATACTTGGATATTAGCATTTCCTTTTTAATTGCGCAAAACTAAACACTCAGCCAAATTTCGCGAACCTTCCCATGATGCACTTGTGCGGAAGCACTACAGTGAAAGAGCTTACCTGGAAAACCACTGCGACAAAAAACGACAAAGGCGCCGCAAAACTACATCTTTCTAATTTTTTTTCAGATGGTAGTGGATATTAGGCGTATCCCTTAAAACAAAAAAATACAAACAAACCCATTGCAAGGCAAGGAACATTGTGAAAAGATGCATTGGTGTGTATAAATTTTAATATTACAGTGTTTAAGAAGCTGTGGAGAGTCGCAAACATTTGCGCAGCGCTGCACAACATTTGCGTCCACTACAATCTGGAAGGAGAGTATTTGAAGACTCTGGCATTGGCGACATATGAAGATGATGGTGCTTATGTTTGTGTCCTTTGTGTCTTAATTGAAACAATTTGATGAAGAACTTAGAAAATTTCTGTGACAAAATTGAAAAATTTCACTCGCACATAAATTTATACTAAAATTAAATAAATATTGAGAAGATTAATCTCTATTTTGGCTAAAAAAAACTTTTGATATAATGTCAACTACATGTAAATTTCTTGTGAATTGTTTGCTTGTTAAGAACGTTTCGAGGGAGATCTTTCACATATAGGCTAGTAAAATGTTACAATTCCTTTTTCAATAAATTCACAGTTTTAGGAATGTTTCTTTAGTTTAATTGTTTGATGATTTTTTCCTTAAAATTTTGATCTTATTGACTTATTGCTTACTTCAATAGTTTTTGATGATGAAATTAATTTTTTTTTTTCTAGTTGAACGGTACACTCATGTTGGTTATGTTTACTCCAACGACAGCATAAAACCATGATAGATGACTAATCTCTTGGCAATAATCAATTGTTTCCCGTAAAAAACACAAGGCGATTATCACGGCAAAATTTACCCTCTTACATGATTAACCATGCTCTAATTCGGTATGCTGTCGAACCAAAAATTTCGAAATTTTGTATAACAAAACCCTTAGGATAACACATTGTGGCGTCATTTTCGTGTTTGGATTAAAAACTCCCAAATGCTAACCGCAATGGGCAGCCACGCTACCATATTGTTTTACAAGGAAATGTAAGCAAAAACTTATGGTTTTGCAACCCAAAATAAACAAATCAAAGTAAACATGAATATTTAACAAAACATATTTAAAATTATTCGAATGGCTTTTAATTTCTAAAATATATAGCGCATGGTGATAATAGGAAAAATCTCCCACTTTTGTTTAAAATCGAAGTTTCAACTGTGCGCAAAATCGTTTACCAAACAAGGGAATTGATATGAGAAAATTCAGCAACTGAATGCGTAGACCCGCCCAACGTACGTGGATGGAAGAAGATTTTAATACCATCTGAAGCATATCTTATTGCTTTGGTGTACTATTAGTTATCCGCACAAGTGTGGATCTTTTTTTTTATAATAACAAAGTTAAGTGTTTATGAAAACACATAAGTACTATCTGTACTTATACTTTTCATAAAATTGTTCTTCAGGTCATTTCCGTATGATATTATTAGCAATCTGTGATGAAAAATGTACTTTCACAGCTGTAGATAACGTAACTTATAATTTCCATAGTTATCGCGTTTGGAGTTATTCCACATTTGCGCAGCAATTATTTAGTAACAAATTAGATGTTCCACATGCAAACGCTATACCCAATTCAAATGCAACGTTTCGAGAACCTTTTGGTGTATTAAATGGTCTATAATTCAGAAATTAACAATTACCACTTTCTAATAAAATAATAATATATATATATATATATATATAAGATAAATATAAATTAGTCAAATAATTTCTAAATTTAACACAAACTGCCTTTATTTCTGCTTGTGAGCGTTTTCTATTCGTTTCGCTTGTATTTATACATGCAAAACCATATAGTTTGCAAATTCACATAAAGTTTTGTAAAAAGTCGGCAAAATTGAAGCTCCAACCTGAGAATAGAAATAACACCTCATTGCGTCAGTCCCCTTAAAGTGAAATTTGGCAGATGACATATATATATATGCCAAAATCATCATACATGGTACACCCCAACATTTCATTACTTCAGAGAAGCGATTATGTATCTTTGAGTTAACTAGCTCTTATTTGGACGGCATACCTTGAAAACTATTTAGTTGTGGGTTATATATGGTCTTCGTTATTTGAAATTTTATCCGAAAAAAAGGAAAATAAGGGACAAGTTTAGCGTTTGTTTTTTTTTAATAATGCAATAAATAACAATATCACACAAACATAAATAAAAGCAAGAATTAGTAAAATTTTGGATAAAATGAAATGAAGTGAAGTAATTTCATATAATTCGCATAATTTCACGTACTCATTTCTTAGGAAAACTTTGAATTGCAGACTTGAACTTTAAGTATATATCATATTATTTTTCTTTTATATAGTGTATTAAAACTTAACATCCAAATTTGCATATAAAGAGTGTATAATACTTTAAAATAAATTGCAAATCAATCCTAGTTTTATATGAAATGAATTACAAATCAATCCTAGTTATATATTAAACCAACTTTTCAATTTTCACAAAACATCTAAATGTATTTTTATTTCCTCACTTACACACTGCCTCACTGCGACGTCATCAAAATAAGTTGCCTTGATACAGAAAATCAGAAGTTCTACAATGTTCATGGGCCCGTAAACCTTATGAATAAAATATTTTGATCCGTATACGCAAAAACACATAGATCAACTCGCCACCAGCCTTTTGGTTTATGACGCCTTCTTCATTTTGTGCGGGCTTACGAAAATAAATGTGGGTGCCGTTTACGCACTTAATCGCTTAAATAAATGAGGAATATTTTAATCATCGTTTGTTGTACAACACCAGGTTACTAGAATATGAAAAGTAATACAGAACGTTGCGCCAATGAGAGTGGCTATTCTTTTGGCACGCGAAGCTTTTACAAAAATCTACATATACCAATATGTATATTATAATTGAACTTTCCGACAAAGGTATAAAAGAACATATTTACACACATTCAGAGTGCTGAAAGATGCAGTCAGTACATATACGAATATGTATATCTTAATTTACCTTTTCGACAAAGGTAAAAAGATAATATTTACATATTTTGGATTAACGTAAGAGGATTTCAAGCGTCTCGCAGAGTCCTTCTTCCTTTTACAAGATTCTTTTTTCATCAATCTCGATATTTATCTACAGTCAAACAACACGATACGAGGAAGGGAACCGTTCCGCTTGATGTATCTACTCCTCAATGCTACATTATAACACTACTTCTTATTACATTATACCACCTTCCTTCTTTTTTCGTTCTTTTTTCGTTTCGTTTCGTAAAATGGCTTAGGCCTGTTGGCGATAAGACCAATGTATTCAATCCATCTCTGTTCAACATACCAAAAAAAAAAAAACAAAATGTATTCAATTAAGTGATGTATTTTTATTATTTATTGATCTATTACCAGTGATAGCGTATGATGTATAAGATTGATTATATACAAATAATATAAGGTATTAATTGGACAAAGGGAGTAAAGAATAAAAAAAAAAAAACTTAATTTTCTTTACTTTCGGAAACTCAAAATTTATTACTTTGGTTCAGCTGTTTGTAAGTAAACAATATTGGGTTTTAATATTATTTTCAATCTACAGCTGTTTTTTCTTATAAATGCAACACCAGCGTTTCTCGCACCTCCTGTGTGTACGCATTGCTAAAAAAGTCGAAACTGGAAAATGTATCACTTAATGCTATACATAATCAGTTCCCAGGACTGTCAAAAGTAATGTAACTAATTATTTGCAAATTTTTATTTGCTAATTTTTTGTTTTTTCATATTATTAAAAATGATTGTTATTTCGCTTAATATCATTTTATTAAAAATTTTATAGAATTTTGCTTTTATTTATCTTTATTGTTGATTGTACCAAGTTATTGTTTTAAACAAAGAACTGTCAAATTTACCTGATATTTTTTCTTTATGTTTACGAAATAAATATTGAATAACGAACGCCGCATATATTGCAAAGCCTAACGGCTTCGAAGTTACGCCTTCGAAGTGAAGGCTAACTAAAAAAGCGTAATCTAGGAATATTGAATACGCAAAACAAAAGTAGCCAAGAAGCGAAAATTTATGTCAACTTTTATATATGCAATTACTCCCAGCTATCGTTGTACTTTAAAGTACTCCATTATTTTTTCCTTCTTCTTTTGCTTATTTGAATATATCTTCTTTCTCTTATATTCATATGCCTTGAGTCTTTGAATGCCATTAATTAAATTTTAAATAAATAAATGAAGAAATGAACAGAAACCATTGAAGTATAGTTTTTGTGAGTACATTAACTCCTAAAACCACTTTTTAATATAAAAATTTTTAGTCGATTTTAATTTCAGCAGGATCTTTTGTGTTGATGTCTAACGTGCATTTTTTTTACTGTTTGCTTTCTTACAAACCGTATTGTGAAATAGAAACACCGTGATTTGGCACATAATTTAAATTGCCACGATAAAAATTTCCCTTATATCCCAACTGGTTTGTCATTTTCACACAGCCGGCTTATTCTAAGTTAATGATTGAAATTCATTTATCGATAGTTCATATGACTTCTGCTATTTAATATCTTAGATCTAAATTATTTTGGCGTCTTTGTTCGAATTTTTAGCACATGCGTTTGCTTGCTCAAATGTATATCGAATTGCTTTCTGAATTAATTCAAATAAAATATCAAATTATGTTTTAGTTTGAATCAAATCCTAACATATTTTGTAATTAGGGAAAGGAAAGATTTTGTTTTTAAGGGGAAACATGCCATCAAAAATTACGAGGAAGCATAGCAACATGAAAAACCAACAAAAGCAACAGTAACGTGAAAATATGTATTTGCCGATAATTCGTGAAATCGCACATCTATCATAATTTTTGGAGTAATGATTATTATAATATTTTTTCGTAATTTCTTAAGTTTTTATAAAAATACTTCCAAAGCAATTAATTTTTGTCTAATGTGCATATTTTATATACAGTTAATGACTTCAATAATATATGACTATACGGTGAAATGTACAAAGCGAAATCAGTAATTAAAGTTTGAATAATTAAAAAAGTTTCAAGTGCATAATTATGTTGGATAGCGACTATTTTCCATATTTTTGGGGTGTTCATCTCAAAAGATAATAAATAATTAAGGCAACAATAGTCGCATCAATTCATTTATTGTTTTAGAATATAAATCACATAGTGAATTAATATAAACAAAATTACAAATCTTCCATAAAATGTAATGCTCCCGTCGAAGTGGACAGTCGCTTTTATTCCAGGCAAAGAATTTCAGGAATGTATCAACGCATAAGGAGACTTCGAAAAGTTCCGCAACTGATTTTATAGTATCCGCTAATTTGTTTAACCGCGTGAAATCAGCTGACGCTTTAAATTTAATGAAAGACATGAAGTGCTGATAAAAGTTATTTTAAGACTTTAAAACTGGCTCATTTCTATTAGATTCTGTAAAGGAGAATAGGCAAGAATTCCAATGTGCATCATTGGAAAATACTTTGTATGTTAATGGTCAAAATAAGCATTGTAAACTTTTGTTTCGACTAAAAATTATATTTGAGGTGCGATAAAGAGATCATGACATAAGAGGAAACTCATACAAAAATTTGCTAAACAAATAACTTGCATGTCAACATTTTGCAGCAACAATTTGATAAATAATCATAACAAAACAAACATCTATATATATATATATCATGAAACACGACGTAGATCTCGAAAAAGTTGCACAAGAATTTGTGTGCAATCTACTCGTAAAAGCTGTTACAGTTCAGAAACACAAGATGAGAAATCGAAAGTAATGGCTAATGTATTCGCGCCCACGTTACGATTAACTACCCCACTTACAGTCTATGCGCCATTAAGGATAACGATAATTCGTATAGAATATATAACTAAAATGTCAACATATTCATCGGCACCACGACGATATAATAAAACGTTGACAATCTTTTTGCCATGTACATCTACAACAGAGATGAAGTTTTCATATACTTCAATGATATCACGAAATTCCTGCCTCAATGTATTCAGAACTTATTTAACGCATACATTAGAAATATATATGAGGACTTCATTACGCTTCATATTAATGTTGTTATTATCGCTACAGTGGGGCTTTTGTTCAGGTGATCAAGGTAATCATTTCAATATAAAATGTAATATTGATTGTACTTTACGTTTTCCTGTCAGTTATATTGTTGGATACTACCCGCGAAGCTACGTTAGAATGGACACGCTATCCATATGGCCCGCAAGCTCAGACTCCAGGGGTATTTATTTGTAATTTATAATATAAAGTGTAATATGATTATATTCGCATATTCCTTCTATATGTTATGGTTTTTAGTGGGTGGAAGAAAGCTTCACTGATTTCGTCAAAGGTATCAATTGGCGTAGTTATGTAGTATGTGATGTCGCTTATCATAACGTTAATAATTGGCTCTGGTCCCCTTTCATTGATCGTGGCCCAGCAAATCGTCTATACATTGAAATTCAATTCACAATAAGAGATTGCTCATTATTTCCAGGTATATATATATACATATATATATACATATATATAACTGTACATATAGAAAGTGCGTTTTGTACATTATTAATTTGTTGTAGGTAATGCATTATCTTGTAAAGAAACTTTTAGTTTGTTGTATTATGAGTTCGATGCCGCGACCAGAGAACCCCCGCCATGGCAAACAGACAGTTACAAACTCATTGGTAGATAACTTCAGAAAAAGTTATTGCTATGATCTGATCTGATAACTAATTTTTTTAGCACGCATTGCTGCTGGGGAGGGTCGATTTAATCAGAATTCTGATGTGGACATTAACACTGAAGTTAAAAGCATAGCTGTCACGAAAAAAGGGGTATATTTTGCATTTCGTGATCAAGGAGCTTGCATAAGTGTTTTGGCTGTGAAAGTTTATTACATCACTTGTCCAGCTGTCACTGAAAATTTCGCACATTTCAATGAAACTCCAACAGGTCGTGAAATTACTATAATAGAAAAACAAAACGGAACTTGCATTGAAAATGCGGAACCTTACGAATCACCAACTTATTTATGCAAAGGTGATGGCAAATGGACAATTCTTACTGGGGGATGTCGTTGCAAAGCTGGATATGAACCCGATAATGTGAATAAAACATGCAATGGTAAGTTGTAACTTCAAAATTTTGTATTTCTTAATAGACGAGGCCGAGACATGCCTTTCATTTGAAAGAACGGCGTCATTTTACGAAAGCGTTTGTTGAAGGAAGATCAAGCTGTTATGAAAGTGAAATTTACCTTATTTCATGAATAAAAGATATGCTTATTGAAATTATTCAACGTTTCGATGACATTATCTTGCAAAACATTTTTTTGTAATTTGCCAAATTTATTTTTATTGGCACATATTGTGGATGAAATGAGCTTCGCTTACCAGTCTCTTATGCCTATCTTTACAAGGTTTATATACTGGTCGATTCTCTAATTAATTATGCTCGTTGTCTTTTTATTCTCACGAATTTATGAATAATCGCCAACTATGCTATTGCGTTTCTCCTCCTTCATTTTGTAGTTTAACACTAGCGAAATCACATGATTATAACAAAATACAAATATACGGCAGGCAAATGTGAGTAACTCTTTTGCTTTCGGTTCTAAGATTAACTGTTTAACATTAATAAGTTCATTCAAAGCTCAATACAATTTCAGAAACGTCGCCGCGGTCTTCTTATAAAATGTTTAAAGTAAATGTTGAGCCGGTTTATTAGGAATAATAAAAAGATAGCGTGGATGACTATCGAAACTTCGGCAGTGCCAACAACAGCAAAATCAGTTAATGCTACTTCGTAGGGGCGTCCATATATGTTTACGATGTTCACGATTTGCTCGTAAAGCGAAATTTCTGAACCTCGTGCTTCCTAATGCTTCGAGATTCTTTCAATTTACAAGTAAGACTGCTCCATTTAATTTGTTATGCATATTTATGTGAATAGATGTGAACCGTGATTTGAAAAATAACCTGCCTACCACGTCGGCACAAAGTTATAGGCCTTTTTTTCCACCTTATGAGTGTAGGATTAATTCGAATAAAATTTGTATGTTTGATGTATTTAAAAATTTTTTTAATGACTTAAAAAGAAAAAAAGGAAATGGAGGTACAGCAGCTTTCGCAGGAAACGTACTATTTCCTTCTCCCTTTTTCGCTTTGACCTACGTTAATTCTTAATTAATTTCCTTCAAATTTTCAGCTCATTAGGTCGTTGCATTTTTTAAAACATAGAAAAATACAGTCGATTTTGTTACAAGACTATTTCTCAAAGAAAATTTTTAAAAAGCGGTTTTACAATCAGTGAAGGCATTGAAAATCTATGATTGAACTTTGAATGCAAACAATTGAGAGTTAAACTATACTAGTAATGCAGTCGGTCAAGAAAATCGTGATTACAATTTTAAGTAGTCGTAGTTTTTAGGAATTTGAAGTATTAACTTCGATTGAAAAATCGAATTTTTCTAACACTTAAGAATATTGAACCCTTATGGATACCATTTTTATATCCACCACTGAAGAATGGCGGAATACTCTTTTTATTATAATATTTGCAACAGACAAAAGGAAGCTTCAGAGATGCTACAAAGTGTATATTTTCTTGATCAGCTAAGCAATTGTGGAATCCGTTAATGAGATAAGTGACAGACGTCATTTAGGTTCTTGCAAGCAACTCTGAGCGGGTTAAACAGTTCGTAATTACATTTGCATTGACTAAGCTTTATCAAGATAAAGTGCCTAGAGAAGCGGTTGGGGACATTAAAGCCTATCTCACGAAGTAATGCGGGCGAGTCAATTGTACCATTTATTAATTCGTTCAGGAAGGAAACTTCAAGAACAAATTTACGTTTCTTCAGTGACGGTAAGGATAACAGAAGCAATCTATTTTCATAGGGTGGAAGAGGGGCAATCGGGTCCCAACCCAAATTCCTAAGAGCAAACAGCAAGAATTGCTTTTGAACAGAACTACGTAGCACCTATATGAAGGAGACCACACAACACAGGCATACTCAAGTATAGCTCTAACTAAACACATGTGAAGCCGTTTTGTAATATAAGGATCATCAAGCTCTTTGCACCACCTCTTTATAAAATCAAGCGCGGACCTGGCATTGCTTAACGAGAGCTCAATATGCAAATTAAAATGTAACGTATGGTCAAATAGAACGCCTAAATCTGTGAACGAATCGACGTCCTTCAACTTGTGCGAATCGATGAAATAGTGAGCAATGAATGACTTCCTTCTCGAGAGAGAAAGTTTCTTACATTTATTTAGGTTTAGTTTCAGAAGATTCAAAGAGCACCATGCAACCAAATTATTCAAATCACTGAAGATGATGTGATTGCGATTCTACGGAAAAGGAAGAAAACAATTTCACATCATTAGCATACATTAAGATCTCGCTGAATTTAATCACGGATGGCAACTCATTGATGTAGAAATTAAATAAAATGGGTCCTAAGTGGCTACCTTGAGGTACGCCAGACGTCACGGGGAATTCATCTCAGGTAATGAGGTTAAACAAAACCCTAAATGATCTACCATGAAGATAAGAGCTTACCCATTCCACTAAGAAGAAAGGTAAGCCAGAGGCTTGGAGTTTAAAGATAAGTAATCTATGGTTAACCAAATCAAACGCTTTGCTAAAGTCAGTGTATATGACATCAGTGCAAGAGCCACTAGAAAAAGCCTTGATAACATGAGAAGTAAACTCTAACATTTTGGTGACCGTAGATCTTCCCTTTCGAAAACCATGTTGGAGAGGAGAAATATGCGATTTCATGGAAAAGGCTATATGCTGAGCCACAATTCGCTCGAACAGTTTAGGCAAGACACTCAACTTGGCAATGCCTCTGTAGTTCTTTACACGTTGCCTACTACCACTTTTGTGAATAGGAATAAGGAAACAAGTCTCCCAACACGAAGGGAAAGCGCCTAAATTCAAGGACTTCTTAAAAATCTTTGAGATAACACCACATAGCTCGCCAGCACAAGATATAAGTACACATGAGGGGATTCCATCAGGTCCAGGCGAAAAATTATATATTAGAGAGCTCAATCCCTCAAAAACGTCATTTTCAGATATAACAAAGTTAGGAATTTAAATCAAATTAGAAATCGGATGTGGATACTTTGCTGATAAAACAAAATTGGCAGTTGAAAGGTTCTGTCGGAAGTATTCCGCAAAGAGATTTGAGGTTTCAAAATCATCCGAGGACTCGGAGCCATTAAAAGACACATGCGAGGGATTTATGGAGGTTTTTCTTTTGGAATTAACGAAGTTAAAAAAGCATTTAGGGTTAGAAAACAAGGAGGATTTGACAAACTGAAGGTATCTGCAATAGTATTGGCGGTTGAGGGAATTAAAATTTCCAGTTTTCGAAAAATTTTTGGAAAGATTGCTTTTTCTATTCTTGTAATATTTAGTTCTCTTATTAAACCATGGGCGTCACCTGCTTCGAGGACGAAATTGCTTGATCGGAACGGATGCAGAAATAGCTTGATTTAATATATTGTAGAACGACGACAGTAAGCCTATCAATACTTCCCACTGAGAAATCAAGCACAATATGAGAAAGATGTGATTTTAGCATAGAAACATTGATTTTACGGAAATCATAAAATTTATATGAAAAATTTGAATTTGGAACGTTATAGAAGCTCAACGAGCCAACATGCTTGTAACGAAAGAAAACACCCAATATTCGATGATATGGATCCTCAGGTAAACTAAACGGAAACCAACGATTAACGCAAAGGTCAGGACAATTGGCAAAGCAAAGATCAAGCAATCTACCATTGCAATTAAGGGTAACATTGTATTGAACTAAATTATGATCAAATAATTCAAAAAAGAACACAACGGCTCTACCAGTTGTTGAGGTAGGAATCGAACAGCCAGAATTATCACTGTAACACCAAGTGGCTTGAGGCAAATTGAAGTCACCCAAGGCAATGACTCTATCGGTAGGTTTAGATTGGTTGGCCACTTCAGAAATGAGGGCGGCCTGTTTCTTATATACAGAGATATCTGAATTTGGGGGAATATAGGAGCAGGTCATACATAAGGGTTTATTAGGAAATTCCACTCGAATGGCGATAAATTCAACGTCGGGAGTAGTTGGAAATTCAAATGAATAGGAGGAGACTGCCGAAGAAATAGCAATTAAAGCACTACCACTATTGCGATACAATCGATCGTTTCTGAAAATTTAAAACGAATTATGGAAAAGTTCCGACGAATGTAGATCTGGATTTAACCAAGTTTCAGTGAAGACCAAACAGGAAAATTCCGTGCTCATTGACTTTAAGAGGGTAGAACTAATTTTTGAATTTAGGCCCTAACATTTTGATAAATGAGAGAAAATGAGATTGAAGAAATATTTAGTTTTTAGAAGGGGAAAGTGCTACTCCATTAGCATTACGGCGTCTATCCCGAGGGATAAGTTCCTTAATTAGGGATTCAACCCGTCACAATGGTTTATTTAACATCAAATCCATATTTTCAGTCGGAACTAGAATTCTAAAGATGAGATAGCTCTAGATTGAGAAGGAGCCAATTTGAAAATACTAACTCGCTTTAAATTGACAGAAGTGGCTTTCGCTGCCAGATAAGTTTTTATGCTATCAACAGATGTATCTGGTGCCAGTCTTGACACAAATATTGCCTTTCTGGGAGAAATTGCCTTCAAGCATATGTCATTTGTACTAGGAGCAGCAGGATTCACGGATGGGGAGTTATGAGTTGGGGAAAATATAGAAGGGGTAACCACACTTGCACGAGCAGCTTGTGCGATGTGCCCAGTTTGGCGACCGGCGTTCGCTCAAAGAAAAAATTTCTCGTCTCCGTGAAGAGTTTGTAGAAATCAATGTCCCGCTTTCTGCAGTCAGGACATGACCATCGTACACCTTTAGAAGGATGCAGGACTGCACCAGCAGCACGGCCGATAATACCAGCACACTTTGCATGTCCAAAACGATCACACAGCCAACAAGAAGTGAATCGTTCAGATTCAGGGCCTGTTTTCGCCCGACATGGTGTAACTAAGGAATCCATGTCCACTGAAACAACAAAAGTAGCTCATGAAGGAAAAAATGGAAAAAGAAAAACTGAAAAA